AAATAGTGTGTCACGTCAACTGCATAAAAAGGGCTCGTGTCAATATTGAGAACTCATAAATTTCAGTTTTCAAATTATTTGTATCATATTATGTCAACCCACAAAATTTGTATATTGTATTCGTATCAAAAGTTTTGACGAGTAAATATTCATGTTGAGCATATCCGTATTTGTATTAAATTAATATTGCGTCATGTAGTGAACCCAAATTCCTACCCCTAAATTAAACCTAATTAGGAAAAAAATTACCAAATTACATACATAACTTGTGTTAATTTGTGCTATAAAAGTAACAATTAAGGGATAAATTAGAAATTTAATGTTATAACTACTCTCTTTTTCCTAATTTTTTTCTACCAGTCAGGGGAAGGGGATTCCTTCCCTTTCTTTGACCTAAAACATGCACACAAGAGGAAATAAGTTCAATCTATTCCCTTTCTGCTCCTCCTTTCCTTTATTTTATTTTTCCTTTTCATAAACTCTTAAAAGTATACAATCCTTGGACACAAAAAGGAGTTAGCTCATTCAGAAATTCTCTTTTTCTCGAACACTTTCACGCTTAAGTAAATTCTAACAAAATCGATTACCAAAAAAAAAATTCTAACAAAATCAATAAATTATTGATTCTATTCACGTTTTCATGAACAAAAATACGCTACCAATAGTTTCTTCCTGCAAGACATTTGGATGAATCAAAATAAATATATGTATCCATTCTTTCTTCCCTTCTCTTTTTTCAATTTTGTAATTATGTGCGTGATTATTCGAAACGAAAAAGACGCTACCAATAGTTTTCAACTTACATCTTCCTACAAATGTTTTAGGCTTTTACACCGTTGCTTAATTGTCCTATCCTATTGGGATGAATTATAATGCTTGCACATGTCATTTAAATTTCAATTCTCTTCTTCTTCTTCCCCTTTTTTCTTACAATGATTTTACTTAATTTAGCACCTTGTGCATATTATATAAGTCCTTTATCACTAATTCGCTGCTATTAACTTGATTTTTAGATTTTTGAAACCTCACATAAAATTTCTAAAATATTAATTTGTGAAGCAGACCTTAAGTTTAATATGTTTTTGTTATCGAAAATGTTACTATAGTGCATTAAGTTGCTAACTTGGCCATTAGATGACACATGCATTTGAGGATGTTATCTTGAAACATGTTCTCTATCCTAGCCTGAAAATGTTATATGGTTTTGTCTATGTTTAAAACACTACCAGACCAGCTCAAACGTGACACAGGCTAATTAATGGGTGGCGGTTTAAGAACATTTTTCCCCCACTCCTCATTTCAATTTGAGAAGCTAATGTGGTACTAATTATACTTATCAGCTCACATTTAATAAAAGTTGGTTCAATATAATACGCAAGTTGCTGATTGCTAAACTAAATCTGAAATGAATTTGTTTCCATAAAAAACCAAAGTTATGGTGATAGCTCGGACGGTAGCATATGAGTTAAGTAAGTGGAAGGGAAATGGTCTCGGTTCGATTCCAACATGTCACATTTGAAAAAGATTAAATATATTTATCCCTGAAACGCCTCGTACTCCGAATTAGTCTCACAAAAAAAATATATCAAAGATATCAATATGGGTCAAACGAGTCAGTTCGCGGGTTTTTTTTTTTAATTAAAAAATACAAAAAAATAATATCAAAACCACACTGCCGTCACTGAATCGTTAAACTGAATCGTTGAGACTCATTATCATTTCCTTTCACTGAATCATTGAGTTTCATTTTTTCTTTCTCCATTATCATTTCTTTCACTGAATCGTTGAGTTTCATTTTCTGACTCACAGGGACCCAGATGGCTTTTCTGCATAAAGTTGTCATCTTTATTGTTGTCGAGGAAAGAAACAAAGGGATTGGATGTTGGGCAATGCTCAAGAAACTGAAGGGTCCAATGGATGGGTATGAAAGAACCTTTGAAAATTGAGATGGGGTACTGTGACTTTGTGTATTCCAGTACGGGTTAGAATGGTTGTGATGTACTAAAATTCTGGTCCTTCATCTTTTGCTCTAATGGTTGTGATGTCTTATTGAGCCAAAGCGGGAGCCATGTTTTTGAGCCAACCTTAACTCGGCTCTCATCGAGTTAGGTTGTGTTTTCTGTCTCGTTTTTTTTTAGTCAATGCTAACCCGACTCATTTTTTCAGGTTGCAAACGAGTTGGGTCAGGACGAGTCTGATTGGTCCGTTTTGCCAACCCTATGGGTAAGGACTAACATAGATTAGCTTACAATTAGACTCTTCAATTTTTTTCTCACAAAAATTCGAGTTCTCTAACCACACACTTTTTCTTTTTCTACACTTTCAAGCACAACCAAACTCTCTTCTTAATTAATCCCTAATTTTCTCATTTCACAACCAAACTCTTAAATTTCAATTTTGTTTTTGTTCTCTTTTAAGATTTCATTTTCAAAATTTTGTCAACTAATTAATAACTGTTAATTTGGGGTTGTATTGATTTGTACATAATAATTATCTTAGTTAAATGATTCAAAGTGAAATAGGAAATCTTCCATTCAAACTTTGTGACGATAATTTTTCAATTCTAGAGGAAGTTATCTCCCAAAGAAACACCAAACGAATCTCATTGATCGAAATCATCGAATATACCATGATTCATACAAAAAGTATTAGACATCCAATTTCCGTGGAACAAGTTCTGAATGCAAATTGATAATGCGTATGCCCAGAGCCCATTCAGGTTTTGTAGGCTCAATTTAAGTCCTTAGGCCAATAATTATGTGCATTCCTTTTGGGCCACAGCCAGGTCTGAAGGTGTCATTCTCGAATGGATAGTATGGGAAATCGAACACACATCTTATTATATAACTACTCACACCCTTTACCACTAGACTAACTTAGTGGCTTCGAATGGATAGCTTTGTGTTAGCGTTAGGCTTTGTTTGGAGTTTGGAGGGGAAGGGAAGGGAAGAAAGGGGATCCAAGGGGAGGGAGGGGAAGGAAGGGAAAGAAATTGAAGGGTATTCTCTTCCCTTGTTTGGGAGTTAAAGAAAAGATAAGGGAAAAAAATAAAGAATTAATGAGATATTTTTACCATTTTACCCTTTTTTAAAAACTAAATAATTATTATATTTTACAAATTAAATTAAATTTGAAATTTGTAACAAAATTATTTATGTATTTTTCACAATACTTAAAAAGATCATATTTTTGATGAAATTTTTATATTGCAAACGACGAAAATTTGGTCACAAAATTATTTTTTTCGTCGGAATACTTTTCGTCGAAAATTGACAGAATTGTTTCTCCGATGAAAATTTTTACAAATCGAAATTTAGTTTCCGTCAAAAGTTTTGACGAAAATGATTTCCTCATCAAATATTTTAAACGAAAAAAGAATTTCGTCAAAAATTTTGACGGAATTTTTTTGTTCAAAATTTCGATGGAAATTTGTTCTGACGAAAATTTCATTTTTTTGACAAAAATTTTGAGGAAAATGTTTTACTCGAAAATTTTGACAAAATTTAGATTGTGTAAAGAATTTTGACAAAAACAAAATTTCATCAAAATTTTTTATCGAAATATTTTTCGTCTAAAAATTTTACGGAAAATATTTTCTGTCTAAATTTTTGACAAAACTGTGTTCCATTGAAAATTTTTATGGAAATGTTTTTTTATCAAAAACCTTGATAATAATATTTTTCATCGAAATTTTTTGATGGGAATGTGTTTCGTGAAAAAATTTGAAAAAAATTTTTTTGTCAAAAAATTTAACGAAAATGTTTCTGTCGAAAACTTTCAACGGAATTTGAATTTTGATGAAAATATTTTTCGTCAAAAATTTCGATAAATATGTTTTTTGTGAAATATTTAGAAGGTAATGTTTTGATGAAATTTAGATTCCGTAAAGAATTTTGACAAAAAAAAAATTTCCAGTGAAAATTTTTTACAAAAATATTTTTAGTTACAAATTTTGTTGAAAATATTTTTCATCCAAAATTTTTGAGAAAAATTTTGATGGAAATGTTTTCCGTGAAAATTTTTGACGTAATTGTTTTACGTCGAAACTTTTCAATGAAAATATTTTCGTCAAAATTTTGGACGAAAATATTTTCGTTGAAAGTTTCGACGAAATTTAGATTTTATCAATAATTTTGACTGAATTTTTTTTTCGTAAAAAATTTATGTCAGTGATAATGGCAAAATCTGATTTCGTCTCTAATTTCGTGTTTGGTTTTGACGAAAAGTTTTTGACGTAAATGATTTTCATCAAAAATTTCATCACTATTTTTGATGAAATATTTTTCGTGAGATAAATTATGTCGGTAGTTAAGACTTTTCTAATAATGTCACATTTAAAAATGATTGACATTTATATAATTTTCACATTTTAATTCTTAAAGTACATAAATAATTTTTAATATTTCTCCCTCAAACTCTCCAAATTGGGGAAACTTTAATTTCAAGAAGAAAGTTTTGGAAAGTTTAGTAAAAATTCCAATTTCTTTCCCTCGTTTCTTTAAACTCACAAATAAGAAAAGGGCTTACTAAAATCCTCATTTTTTTTTTTCCTCTCCTCCTAAAATCAACTCTCAAACAAAGCCTAAGAAGACAAGAAAGAGAAGGAACCGAAAGAGAAAGAGAAAATGAAAAGTGAAACCAGTTTATTATTCATAATGAATCAAACAGATACAGCTTGTTGATTATATACACACTACTGTACATGCAACGTAACAACCATAACTACTCATACAACAACCTAACATCTTATTTAGCCTTCTCTTGTTCATGCCACGAAGTCCTTGAGCTTGGCAGTTGGCAGGGTGCAACTAAACACATGTGGAATTCTTACGTAAAACATTCCCCTCTCCTTCACAAATGACCTTGTCCTCAAGGTCAAGGTGTAGGGACGGATAGCAACGACGAAGGTCTGTCTTCTGGTTCCCATGTGCCCACTGAAACCAAATACTGGTTTTGGGAACATCCTCGAACTTGCACAACTCTCTTTCCAACCACTGCAAGGGGTTCTTGTATCGGCTTATTATCATAACACTTCATTACGTTGCTGTAATAGAGAGTCCACTGCCTCCACCACCTTCAACAAACGCCTCGGGTAATGAGGAATCAGCATAGGTGGTTTTCCATAAACGGCTTGATGAGGTGTCATCCCAATGGTTGAATGCACAGAAAAATTGTAATGAAGTTGAGCCCAACACAAAAAACATCAAAAGTTGGCTCGGTTAACAACACATTTACTGACCCTTCTTCATGAATTCGAGACAAGGCATCTTAATAGGATCTGCATATGCAATATCTGATTTTGTGGCTCTTTGTTGGTCCCTTAGTGCATCTCCTGCTAACTCTTGGGGGCAAGGATAATGAAAATTTTGTGCCACATTCAAGGCTTTTGAGCCTTTTCCTTGAAGACCTTTGCTTCCTTTAACTTATTGGTTGAAGTTTAATAGGGTTGTAAGAGGAAGATCTAGCATGTTAATCTCCATCTTGTTGAACATGAGATTTGCAACAGCTCTGTCAACAATGTTGGTCTCTGATTCCATTGGTTTCTTGTCCTCAGACCTAAATACAAAGGTAAAAGTTTCAATTAAGGGTGTTTGGTTATTCATAACATGGAACATATAAACTAGAGAAGAGAAATATCATTGATACTACTTTTATAACTAGAATATAATCTGAAGGCCAAAAGAACATTACACACAAGCAGCAAATCTAAATCATGTACCTCAAGGTTTCATTGTGAACTGCCTGTAGCATTGACTGTTGCATGTTAAGATCTCCATCCAGATCCTCCACAACATGATGCCGTAGTTTTGTATTTCTGGCAAGACGGTACAGGGCGTCACGGAAACAAATGCGAGTCTTCTCAGTGAACTAATCATGTGAGACAAGGAAAAAAAAAATTAGCAACAAGTATTATTGCATTTGATCAAATGCAAGGGTTTCAATTCTCAGTCATCTCACCTGTGCAGTTACCATCTCAAGATCCTGCAGTGTAGATTTCTCAACAGATGACTGCTCATGCATAGCCTCATCTCCGCTATACTGCTCAAAAGGGTCCAAGACTTTTACTGTCTGTACCATAAAGAGAAATTGAATAAATTGCATTACAATGTAAGCCTTGAAAGCAGAACCTCAAACATACTTTGCAGTTGAAATTTGAATGGAATCTAGTTCCATTAGTTTCAATAAGTACTCTAGTAAGTGGCAGTGATAACCTAAACTACTGCATAAGAATGACTTGTTGCAGGACACATAGACAAGGTAATTTGGATCTGATTACAAATGCTTTGCTTACTATATGGTAACTGGTATTTGGTGAGGAAACTATCAACTACAAATTTATGATTTTGACTTCAACACACACATCTGAATGGATATATATAACATAGAAACTGCTAACAACTGCTTATGGCAAGCCAGAATTTCTGTGTGTGTGGCAAGTGATAGATTAAACACCATTTAACTAAAAGAGAAAAGCCAATTCACCTCTACATCCATGCAATCCTCAGAGCTTGAGTGGCATAGAACAAACTTTGAAGCTGCTATATCTTTCTGCAAACCACCTGATGGAAACAAAGAATGAGTTTAGAGGTAATTCATACACCATTATGATAGATATTTTTCGAATTACTTGTTCACACAAAAATGTCTAAAAAGAGTGATCACCAGGTGAATTGCTGCCACGGTTTTCAGGATAAAAGTAGAAGGATTTGTGTACGTCTTCAACAGAGGGAAAATCTTCTAGTACCGAATCCCTGCATTATGTGAAACATGTGAAGGCTGTAAGATAAGTAAATAGTCATTTGAAATGGATTAACTTCATGCCTATGGTAAGCCAGTGAACATTGAATGCCTCTGCCGTGTCACATATGTAATGCACGATTAAAAATAAGACCTTTTCATACTAGATTATTAAAGAAAAATGGGAGCCCTTACCATGCTATAACAGGTTCATGCTTATAGAGTTCAGAGAACCATAAGTATGATTGTCTTAGTCTGTATAGGCTCCAATCATAAAGATAAATATGGCGAAATTTGGAATGCAAAAACACCACAGAGCTATTCAATTTGCACTGACTTCTTACAATGCCCAGAGCATACTCATGCCCGGTTAAAGCATTTCAGGAGCTACATGATTATCCTATAGGCATAAAACCAAGTATCTTAGTCCCAAAGGTAAAGGCTTGTACAAGAAAATGTCATCCATCTGTTCGAAACTTGATAGGTCTTGAAGCTGGTAGTTAGGTTGATCACATGAAAACGCTGTTTGTTGAAAAGATTGCTCAGCTCCAGATACACTTGAGCTGCTAGACTGATCTTTATCATACCCAGAAGGTTCAAACTCAATTTCATTATTGACACTTTCATCAGTGAAATTGAATCCTACCTCTGTTGCATTTGTATCCATGATCAAAAACTTTGTGGGTGAATTATAGCCTTCAGAAGCACTCATTTCCCATTTTGACCAACTGTCTGGTGAAGGATGCCTATCCAATAAATCTTGATCTTTTGGTACAAGAAAATCATTAGAACCACAACCGTAGTACCAATCCATGACAAATAACCTGTAGAGTGTTCAAGACATTTGAAGATTAGCACATATAAATTGCCTTTACTACTGGAAATATGCAGATTTTGTTGACTCATACACACAAGCTATTTGCTTAGCACTACAGGAGAACTTCAATTTGTTCTATCCTATGTTGCTTCTATATGCTATGTACATTCATTCAAACATGCCATTGTTACTCCCCCAGGTGTTGAAACCCGTCTAATATCTAGATCCTCAAGTTGGAAACTTCATTGGACATGGTTTCTAAGATAACCCCATTAGAACAAACTTAGTACAGTAAAAATCAAGGTCTACCCAAAAAAAAAAAAAAATTAAAAATTAAAAATAATAAGAACTGATAGACTAAGTTTTCAAGTCAAACTTGGGCACAAAAATTTTAACTTTACTCAAATGTTTTGAAAAATCTTTGGGCACAGATGGTGAAAACGACAAACTAACCATAAGTTCTCCCATACATGATTTAGGAAACCCCATTCAACCAAGCATACGAAACCTATGCAGATCAGAGTTTCTACATCACTTTCTCTTCAAAGATTGATGGAAGCTTTATTCCTTCCAATTTCCCACCCTTATTAAAGAATCAAAATCCACTTCTTTAAGCCTGACAGTTTTCAAAACCAAGTACTAAAAGCCAATAAAGGAAAAGAAAAAGAAAACACAGAAAAAAAAAAAAAACTAACTTGATGAACATACTAAACACCTTATATCTTTCCCATCCTCAATAAAAACCAACAGCTTCTTCAAAACTTGAGGCTTTCCATAAAATCATCCTTACACAGAAAAAATACTCCAAATATAATAATTAAATGGGGACTAAGAAACATACCTTTCAGAGGTTTATCAGAAGAAAAGATAGAGAAAGAGAGAGAGAACCCAGGTTCTGATTGAAGAAATGAAATCAACCCAGAAGGAGAATAGAGTCAGCAATCAACACAACTTGACAAGAGGCTAGTTTGGTTCACAGTATTTTTCAGTAGTGGCAGCTGAAATACAGAGGAGGGTGTGGTTTTGGGTAGTCAAGTGTACATATTATTTCAATGAAAACATACCTAAGAGAGAGTAAAATATATAGGAAGGTGCAGTACCATAAATAAGTTAAGAAAGAGACTTGTTAATGAGTTTGTGGCTGAGAATGTTTTGGTGCCGAGATTTGTGGCCTCAAGTTCTCCATCTAAAACTGAAACCTTATTGGTCCACGTTGTCAAAATCTGGTCCCATTTTAAGATTTTATTTTTGCTTATTGGAGATTTCAGCATCTAGCATCTGTGGCCTCAAATGGAGATCCCATTTTATGACTTTTGTGCTGCAAAGTTCAAAGCCACGTTCAATGCCCTCAAAACCATTTACCATTTTATTTCACACTTGACAGTGACACAAAGAAGCACATTGAGCGAGAAACATCGCTATTGATTTGCCAAAACATAAAGCACAGCGAAGTAAAAGAAAAAATGTAGTACTGTTTGTGTCAAATTTGCCAAAACATATCAGCAATTCTCGAATGTCGATCACGCCTTTATGTAGGTAACGTGTTAATGGATAATAACGCTCCTTAAGATGCCAGCATGATATGTTGACACGTGTCATCAATTTGTGTGAAATTTTGAAAGAGCTGTCTTCTACTTCTAGTACTGTTTCTAACACGTTAAAATCTAGTCTTTGTATAAAATAAAAAAAAAAAAAATCTGGTCGGATGTCACTTTTTTTTTTGGAAATAATAGGAAATTAAAATAAAAACACAACAAAAAGAAACTAGGCACAAAGCCTAGACCAGTGAACACCTATAGTGTCACCATACAGACTATCACTACAACCTGACGGTGGACAATCAAATTCCTGAATTACCCAAGAGAAACCATAAGAGTAAGAGGCTAGAAAGTCCGCTACTCTATTTCCTTCACGGTGAATGTGAGACATATAAATCTGCCAATCTCGCTGCATCAAATTTCGAATACGATTCACCAAATTAGCCGCAGGGTAATCATGGTGGCACCCATTTGTAATGAGCTGTTGAGCTGAAAGAGAATCTCCTTCGAGCCAAACTTGCCTAAAACCTCTATCCCAAGCTAGCTCCAAACCAACCAAGCAAGCCCCTGGTCGGATGTCACTGAGACCGATCTAGTGATAAGAAATTTAGATAGTTTATATTAGATTTTCGGTTTATCATCTATCATTTAACATGACCACAAAAAATTTCCTACACACACAACATTTTGTGGGACCCGCAGCAAAAAAAAAAAAAAAACTTCGGCAGGCAAAACGAATCTCTATAACATAACACAATCACTTTTCCTACAACATAACTCTTATAAAACCCTTAGATTTTGTGTGGATTTTTATTATTATATAAAAAAAAACTAGTCCTTTGTTTATAGGGATAGATTATTTTTCTATCCTTAATTTTTCTATCTTTGTCTATCTTTACTAATATAGTTAGATTATAATCTCATCAAATGGTAGAGATTTGTAAAATAAAATAAATTATTTTATCCATTTCTTTCTCCTCGTTACCTCTCATCCTTTTCTCTCCTCCCCTTTCTCTATATGGACCGAGACAACAAATAGAGAAACACATACATGTTGTTTTTTGGTTATCTTATGGTCAGTAATCCATTGTGAGTTTGTGATTTTTTGTTGTTGGTAAAATGTGATTTTATGATTTATCATTTGACCCATGTGATTTTAAATTTATCACTTAGATCCATTGTGCTTAAATAAATTATCATTTAACTCTTCATGGTTCAAATTTTCACTTAGACACCGGTGATTAGAAAAATTTATTTAGACCCGTTGTGGTTATAAAATTAAAAATTTTACAAAATAAATATTTATAATAAATTTTTCCTATTTTTTATTTTATATCTTGACCTAATGCATTTAAGGTTTAAAAATTAAAAAAATTCACTTATTTTTATCAAGAAAATAGATTCAAATCAAATATTATTTTATTTTATATATTATTTTAGCCGATATTGTTATAAAATTATCTAAAAAAGTAAATATCTTTTTTTGATAATACATATTTAATTATCTTAAATATATTTTTTTAATTTCAAATATATTTTAAAAATAAATAAAAAATTAAGATAATTTATATATTAATTTCAGAATAAAGAATTTGAAATATTTTTTAAATCCTAAATGCATTACATGAGGATATAAAATAAAAGAGAGGAAACTTATTTTAATTTTTTAAAAAAAATATTTTTTAAACCACTATGAGTCTAAGTGAAATTTTTTGTAATCACGAGGGGTCTAAGCGAAAATTTGAAACCATAGAAAGTTAAATGATAAATTATTTCACCACAATGAGTTTAAATGATAAGTTTAAAATCATAGATGGTCAAATGATAAATCACAAAACTACATTGGGTGAAAATAAAGTTTTACCCCAATATAAATGCATAATACACAGTGTAAGGAGAATTTAATTATATCTTTAACATAATGAGACTTATTTATCTGATCATTATCAATTGCATGGAATTCTTATTCTTATATTGCTAGCATACAACACCAAACATGTCACTACAAACTGCAAATTAGCGGTCTACAAATTATCTTTTATTAGAAACTATTATAATCATTTGCAAATTTCCTTTTGAATATATGTATTGATTTGTGGAGGAATAAAAAGATTTATTTTTTCCTGCAAATCTTCATTAAAGAAATTATAATTTAACGATATTGAGAAAAATAAATAAAGGTAAGCAAATTAACGGTAGACAAAATAACCTGTTTGTTGTTTATATTAAAAAAAAAAAAAAAAAAAAACTAGTCCTTTGTCATTTTGAACGTTACTCTATTATTGATCGAGTCAAACAGGTTATTGATCATTTTCATCAAGTATTACTAATTATTCACTTTATTCTCTAATAATAAAAGGTTTTCTTAAGGTCACTTGCAAAAAAAATAAATTAAATAAGAAGTACAAGCATTTGTTACTTTAATGGTAGGATATGATATGAGGCTTATGCCTATGGCTCCATTTGGACGAGCTTTTAAAAAAATGACTTTTTATGCATTTTTTTAAAGTAACTTTTTTGAAAGGTAAAGTTATTTTATGTTTGGATGTATAATCTAAAAATCATTTTTACATAAAAAAATTGTTTAGATGTTAAAATAAAAAAAAAAGAACTTTTTGTATATAAAATTACAATAAAGGAGAGATAAAATAGCTTAATCGTGGGATAAGGAGAGATAAAATAGGTATGATAGGATAAGGTTAAAATTATATTTTAAAAATTTAAATTATCTTTTTTTCAAAAAAAAAATTATATTATCTTTTAATTACTGCTTTTCTCAAAAGCAACCAACTACGGGCTATAGAAAAAAGCAGCATTTTAACTTTTATTTTAAATTTTGCTTTTTTAAAAAGTTGTTATCCAAACATCTAAAAATTCTAACAAGGACTTTTATTTAAAAAAAAAAAAATTTTAAAGAATAAAAGCTCATCCAAACGGACACTATATCATGTCATGTGTTTGTTGAGCACCTGATTAGCAATCTGATAAAATAATGTAGAAGGAAAAAGGAAAAAGGAAAAACAAAATATAATACAATAAATACAAATATATTGGGTAGCGTGGGGATATATTGGGTAGCGTGGGATATATTGGGTAGCGTGGAAATATATTGGGTATGCAATATTGGTATCTTATCCTGTTGAATCCTAACTCAACTCCCCCTCAGGATAAGAAATCATGTATTGGATAGGATAAAATGAGACAATAGGATAAACCAATCATATCCTATTGACCCACCAACAAGAGATAAATGTAGGATACGATAAGTTATCATATCCTATCTTCTTTATCAGGTGCTCCAAACAGGTCCTAAAGATTTTAAAAATCTATTTTATTAAATAATTTAATTTAGTAATAAATAATATTTTTAATCTTTAAAATGTGTCTAAGGACTAATGTTATCAAAATCTATAATAAAATCAACAAAACACTTTCCAATTTACACTTCGGTTGAGTAAGGTTTCATCGGTCACTGATCCTTTGCAAATGGAAACCCACGTGCTACATATGGATAATGGACTCATTGTTGGGCCAATTTTGGGAAAAAAATATAAGGCCAGCTTTAACGTAGAACACACCCACAAAATTATATGGTTTTGGGTTATCCTCTGACATGGGCATGGCCCCAGAAAAAGCATAACTTCTAGTCCACTAGCTTGGCCACGCCCATGGATATAAGGGTTCATTTGATTAGTGATGGATCTTGTTAACTATTTTGGTCTATTATCACTTGAGGCTTTGTTGGGTGGAATTTATGAGTATTATGTTACATGGTGAAGTTTACATCATATTACACTCACAATGCAAGTGGGCTTCACCATTTTCTTATTTTTTGTATTTTGATAAAATCTTGTGGGGCCCACCTACATTGTGAGTGTAGCATGATGTAAGCTTCATCATGTAACATAATATTCATAAATCCCTTGTTGGGTTGGCTTCAAAAGCTTTATGAAGATATTTTGGTCCTGATTTGATTATGTCTCCAGATCAGCATTTTTTTAGTCCATTTGATATAATTAATTTCCCGCTCAGTCTACAAGTTTTACGTCAACTTTTAAATCAATGAAATTTTTGTATGATAGTAGTAGATTTGTTTCTCTCAAATGGGATAAAGTATGTCAATATAATGATAATCTTGTGAGGCAGACATATGAAGCTAAGCTCAATGAGTCACCGCTAGGGTGGCAATATCGGTTGGCCCGTCGAAAATGGGCCAGCCCGTCTCGGCCCGTTTTGACAAAATGGGCTAAATTGAGTAATCCGGCCCGTTTTAGGAGTGGGTTGGCGGGTTACGGGCCAATCCGCCAAAAATAAAAAAAATTATGAAAATAAAATATAAAATTTTGCATAAAAAAATTCTTAAAAATATAAAAAAAATCATAAAAAAAAATCTACATAAAATCCTAATGTGCATATGAAAGTCCAACAAAAATTCTAAGGGTATATATGAGAAACCATAAGGAACAAAATAAAAATCAAACTCAAATACATTACTCTACTTGAATAATATAAATTAGATACATTCAGCGGTGACCATCCTTGAAAAACTTTTTGGTGTACAGCGCTTTCATGTGGGTTAGTGGACAGTGGGTGCCTGATTGTTTGCATGTTTGAAGAAAATGTTTTGATAATTTGATCTTATTTGATTTGGGTAAAAAAAAAAAATAAAGGTTTCGCGGGCTAGCCCGCCCCGTGGCGGGCCGAGCCCAGCGGGCTGATGGGTTTGGCGGGGCGAGTTAGGCGGGTTGGTGGGTTAAAAAACTCAACCCAGCCCGCCCCATTTAGCAGGCAGGACGGGCCAGCCCGGCGGGCTCAGCATATTTTGCCAGCCCTAGTCACCGCAAGTAGATCTCAGGCAAAAGCTATGAATTATGAAGTGTTGGACATGGTGGCTCCTTGTGGTAATATTGGCTGAGTGACAATATGAAAATGAGTGTGTAAAAAATGTCTTCTCAATGAGTATATATAGATAGAGAAGATTCACTAATCATGAGTGAAAGAATAGACACAAGTGTTTCTGCACTAGTATACCACACTAGGTATAAGGCAATCATCCCCACTTGATGTGTGTGGATGAAGAATGAGATTCACTATGATGAGATAACATTTATCCCACCTTAAGGATATGCATCCATGAATTGGACCTATGTGACCGGTCCACAACAACTTTCATCTTCACTTGTGCTCAACGTTTCTCCTGTTTTTTTTCTAGTATGAACGTTTCTCGTGTTTTTGAATTGATGTAACGAATATATATATAGAGAGAGAGAGAGAGAGGTGTTTTATTAGTCTCATTTTACATAAGATAAATATAGAGAAAAAATAGGCGAGTCTCACCATTACAAGAAAAAAGAAAAAGGTGTGGTGCGAAAATCGAAGTACGAGAACAGAGAAGTTATCTTATGTAAAAGGAGAGTAATATTTCTCATATATAGAGTCATGATTTTTATATTATGAAACTGGTTTCTACTTTTCATTGCAACGTTAGATTAACACTCATAAATTGTCAAAAGGGAAAAGTGTGTGTCATTGTAAAGGATAAATTGTCAAAAGGGAAAAGTGTGTGTTATTGTAAAGGATGTAAAGTTGTGTCATTTTAAGAAAGAGAAAGAGATACATAAAGGAAGAGGGAGAGAGTTGACAAAAATATAAAGGTGGGGTCACACCTCTGTGTAAGAGTAAAATGATATAAATTGTGTCATTTAAAAGAATAAACACTTTTTCTATCTTAAAAAATCGAGAACCAATAGTACGTTACTTTTAATTGAGTGGTTATTTGTAAAGATGACAATATGCATATTTCCCATTTTGTTTTGAAGCACATGTTAGATTTTTAAAAATAAAATAAAAATGAACATGAGTTTCTAGTAAAGTGCGCCCTATGGTTTATGGAGAAGTTATCCGCTCACAAACAAAAAATTACTTTCCCTATTTTATCCTTGTTCTTCTTTTCTTATACCATTTTTATCCCTTTATTTGTGAGAGGAAACATCAAAAAATTGGGTGATCCAGAAACATGGAAAAACTTCTCACCATGAGAAAAAAATTCAATGGTCCTCATGGTTTATGTGCTTTCTCTTATTCCTCATTCTTTCCTGAGATTGGGCCATGTTGGCACATTTTTTAGATTCCGTTTTAGATGCGACTGGGTTTTAGTCCCGTTCGAAGCATAAAACATGTACGCAGTGTTTTTGGAGAATTGATCTTCTCTCATGTGAAAAAATAATCATGTTATTTGATCACAACTATTTATTGATGATGAAATAAGAAAGAAAAAGTGTATAATTTTTAAATGAGTGGTTGTGATCAAATAACATGATCACTCCTCCACATAAGAGAATCCATTCTCGTGTTTTTGCCCATACTAATAGATTATTATTAAGCAAAAGATTTGTGCATCCAAAAAAAATAAACAATTATATAAAAGATGGAATTAGTATTTCTCATGTTTTTATGTGTGTGTAAGAGATAAATTATAACATGAAAAACATTAATATCATAAAAGACAGGAAATATATTTCTCATATTGTATGAGATAATTTTGTCTCATATAACAAATAAAAAAGTGGGTGGAATCCACTAATAATAAAAAAAAAAAAAGTAAGTATCACCTACTTTTTTATGTGTACATGAGACAAAATTGTTCAATATAACATGAGAAATATATTTTCTATAAAAGATTTGCAAGTTCATAATTTCAAAAAAAAAAAAAAATGGGTGGACAAAAAGTCATATAACCTTATGATATTTCCTTCAACATTTTACGTTTTCAATATTATCACTTTGTTACTGGTAATCAGATCAACGTTTTGCTCTACATCTTAAGTATTAGATATTCAGGTCTCTCACCTGGTCTTTACAAGTGGATTGTGGCTAGGTTTGTCTCGTACCAATCGAACTTTTCCTTCTGATGAATTAAATTTGACCTCTCCTTTTAAGATAGTTTTTGGCAACAATTTGACCATGATCTTTCTGGTAGTGATATATTTTAGCCACTGGCTAAACAAGATGGACTATGAGGATCATCTAGTTACCTTTTTTTTCATATGACCTGTACTGAGCCTACAACCATTTTTCTGACCATAAGCATTTACATTTAAAGCTGAAGTAAACTAGGGAACATTAAGTAACCTAGGGAACATTTTTCCTGTTTGGCAAATGGATTCTTTGTTGGTCCTGAATATTCGGAACAAATGACATCAAATTCTCGAGTTAGCACTCATATATTGCTCGGATGTTGGTAATGAGGGGGAACATAACGAGAATAAAAGGGAAAAATTACTTCTACCATTGTTTGGATGAGTTTTCATGAGGGGGAAAGAGAAAATGTTTCCTCTAATTCCCTCTTGAAAATTCAAAAACAAGGAGAAAGAACTCTCTACTAATTAGAAAATTATCAAATGAATCAGTTATTATTGATTAAGTGATAATGACTAGAAATCTCAATGTAAGTATAAATTTGTGCCCCCTATCTTAGGGATCATCATACAAGAATACAATTAAGATCTTAAAAATCCATTATTTTCACATATATTACAGTTAAGGGACAAGGTTACTGACCTTTGTCCACGATGACGTAAGATTCTTTAATTCTTGAAAGCCCTTTATGTTGATATTTTCTTTTCAGAATCTTACCATTTCTTTCTTATATCCTCTTGTGATAGGAATGACGTACAACCTATGGGCAGACAACGAGGATTTTATGCTTTCTATATCCCTTAAGAAAACAAGAGCCACATTCTTATCTGATGAATGCACCTATCAACAATTATCTTATCCTTCGTTAACTTCTCACTTCCATCACCAATATAATCCTTTTTAGCCATAATATATTTTTATTAAATCACATATTAATTCCCACAAACTTGAGGTAGTTCTATCATTCTCCTACTTGACTCATGCAATAAATGTCATTCCATGATTTAATAAACATCAACCTTAATGTGCACAACTCAGCTAAAGGTCTCATACATTGGTTTCATCATGAGTCATAATTAGGAGCCAGTAAGAGTCATAGCAGTTCTACACTATCAAATATGTATAGTTCCTTCTATGTACCACTATATTAGCTCTTCTCCTTAATATGATACTTTAATAGGAAGTATACTTTCATGTCCAACAATAATGTCTTCGTTAGGGACAAATCCAATTTTTCAATATCATCATACATACATGCATAAGCTGAAAACAGGAAAATCTCATAAACATATACATTAATGAGCTCAGAGTGTCAATAATCAATACAAAACAATAATGATCAACATTCATTAGCTGATATAATGCCAATACTATATACATGACCAATAAATGTCTTGGGCAGTAAACCCTTCGTCAAGGGATCAACTAAGATACGATTGGTGCTAACATGCACTATTGACACTATGTTTTTTAACCTCTTCTTTGAGGGCAAAGTATTTTAACTTCATATGCATAGCACCTTTGGAATACTTGTCGTTTTTAGAACAGAAGACTATTGCAGAATTATCACAATAAATTTTCAACTGCCTATCAATATTGTTGATCAATCCAAGGCCTGAAATAAAATTCTTTAGCCATTTAGCTTGAACCATGGCCTCAAAGCATGCAACAAATTCAGCTGTTGTTTATTGTTTCTGGCAAGGCAGTACAGGGCGTCACGGAAACAAATGCGAGTATTCACAGTGAACTAATCATGTGAGACAAGAGGGGGGGAAAAATTAGCAACAAGTATTATTGCATTTAATCAAATGAAAAGGGTTTCAATTCTCAGTCATCCCACCTGTGCAATTACCATCTCAAGATCCTGCAGTATAGATTCCTCAACAGATGACTGCTCATGCATAGTGTCATCTCCACTATACCGCTCAAAAGGGTCCAAGACTTTTACTGTCTGTACCATAAAGAGAAATGAATAAATTGCATTACAATGTAAGCCTTGAAAGCAGAACCTCAAACATACTTTGCAGTTGAAATTTGAATGGAATCTAGTTCCATTAGTTTCAATAAGTACTCTAGTAAGTGGCATGTGATAACCTAAACTACTGCATAATAATCACTTGTTGCAGGACACATAGACAAGGGAATTTGGATCTGATTCAAATGCTTTGCTTACCATATGGTAGCTGATATTTGGCAAGGAAACTATCAACTACAAATTTATGATTTTGACTTCAACACACACATGTGAGTGGGTATATATAACATAGAAACTGCTAAAAACTCTTCATGGCAAGGCAGAATTTCTGTGTGTGTGGCAAGTGATAGATTAAACACCATTTAACTACAAGACAAAAGGCAATTCTCACCTTTATATCCATGCAATCCTCAGAGTTTGAGTGGCTTGGAACAAACTTTGAAGCTGAAATATCTTTCTGCAAACCACCTGATGGAAAGAAAGCATGTGTTTAGAGCTAATTTATACACCAATATCATAGAATTTTTTTGAATCACTTGTTAACACAAAAATGTTTGAAAAGAGTGATCACCAGGTGAATCGCTGCCATGGTTTTCAGGATAATAGTAGAAGGATTTGTGTAGGTCTTCAACAGAGGGAAAATCTTCAAGTACAGAATCCCTGCATTATGTAAAACATGTGAAGGCTGTAAGATAAGAAAATAGTCATTTGAACTGGATTAACTTCATGCCTATGGTAAGCCAGTGAACATTGAATGCCTCTGTCGTGTCACATATGTATGCAAGATTAAAAAATAAGACTTTTTCATACTAGAATTATTAAAGAAAAATGGGAGCCCCTACCATGCTATAACAGGTTCATGCTTATAGAGTTCTGGGAACCCTAAGTATGATTGTCTTAGTCTGTATTGGATCCAATCATAAAGATAAATATGGCGAAATTTGAAATGCAAAAACACCACAGAGCTATTCAATTTGCACTGACTTCTTACAATGCACAGAGCACACTAATGCCAGGTTAAAGCATTGCAGAATCTACATGATTATCCTATAGGCATAAAACCAAGTATCTTAGACCCAGAGGTTAGGCTTGTACAAGAAAATGTTATCCATCTGTTCGAAACTTGATAGGTCTTGAAGCTGGTAGTTAGGTTGATCACATGAAAATGCTGTTTGTTGAAAAGATTGCTCAGCTCCAGATACACTTGAGCTGCTAGACTGATCTTTATCATACACAGAAGGTTTAAACTCAATTTCATTATTGAAACTTTCATCAATGAAATTGAATCCTTCCTCTGTAGCATTTGTATCCATGATCAAAAACTTTGTGGGTGAATTATAGGCTTCAGAAGCACTCATTTCCCATTTTGACCAACTATCTGGTGAAGGATCCCTATCCAATAAATCTTGATCTTTCGGTATAAGAAAATCATTAGCGCCACAACCATAGTACAAATCCATGACAAATAACCTGTAGAGTGTTCAAAAAATGTGAAGATTAGCACATATAAATTGCCTTCACTATTGGAAATATGTAGAATTTGTTGACTCATACACACAAGCTATTTGCTTAACACTACAGGAGAACTTCAATTTGTTCTATGTTGCTTCTATATGCTATGTACATTCATTCAAACATGCCCTTGTTACTCCCTCGGGTGTTCAAATCAAACCCGTCCAATATCTAGATCCTCAAGTTGGAAACTTCAACCCCATTAGAACAAACTTAGTAGAGTAAAAATCAAGGTCTACCCAAAAAAAAAATTAAAAATAATAAGAACTGATAGACTAAGTTTTCAAGTCAAACTTGGGCACAAAAACTTTAACTTTACTCAAATGTTTTGAAAAATCTTTGGGCACTGATAGTGAAAACAAAAATCTAACCATAAGTTCTCGCATACATGATTTAGGGAACCCCATTCAACCAAGCATAATAAAGCTATGCAGATCAGTAGTTTCTACATAACTCTCTTCAAAGATTAATGCAATCTTTATTCCTTCCAATTTCCTACCCTTATTAAAGAATCAAAATCCAGTTCATGTAAGCCTGACAATTTTCAAAACGAAGTACTAAAAGCCAATAAAGGAAAAGAAAAGAAAAGAAACACACAAAAAAAAAGACTAACTTGATGAACATACTAAACACAGAAATAATACTCCAAATATAATAATTAAATGGGTAGTAAGGAGCATACCTTTCAGAGGTTTATCAGAAGAAAATATAGAGAGAACCCAGGTTCTGATTGATGAATTGAAATCAACCCAGAAGGAGAATAGTGTCAACTATGAACACAACTTGACAAGTTCACAGTATTTTTCAGTTGTGGCAGCTGAAATACAGAGGAGTGTGTTGTTTTGGGTATTAGTCAAGTGTACATATTTTAATGAAAATATACCTAAGAGAGAGTAAAATATATAGGAAGGTGCAGTCCCATAAATGAGATAAGAAGTAAAAGACAGTTGGAAGAAAACAAAAAGGCAAAAGAAAGAGACTTGTTAATGAGTTTGTGGCTGTGAATGTTTTGGTGCCGAGATTTGTGGCCTCAAGTTCTCCATCTAAATCTGAAACCTTATTGGTCCACGTTGCCAAAAATTGGTCCCATTTTAAGATTTTACTTTTGCTTAGTGGAGATTTCAGCATCTAGTATCTGTGGCCTCAAACGGAGATCCCATTTTATGACTTTTGTGCTGCCAAGTGCAAAGTTCAAAGCCACGTTAGATGCCCCTTCAAAATCCATTTACCATTTTATTTCACAATTGACACAAAGAAGCAAATTGAGTGAGAAACATCGCTATTGATTTGCCAAAACATAAAGCACAGCAAAGTAAAAGAAAAAAATTGTACAAATTACCATTTAGCATTTATTTAAAAATAATTATATTCGTTCGAGGTTGATGTAGAATCTATACACCACCAGAAATTGTAAGTGTATACATTCTAAGAAAATTTTTTAATATGTTCCTGAATTAACGTGCTTCTTTTACTCAAAAATTAATATCTGTATTAATTTTTTTCTTTTCTTTTCTTCTCTTCTCTCCTCAACTTTTTTTCTCATTTTCTCATTTTAGTCCCGCACTATTTTTCTTGGTCCTCGACCACTATAAATTCGCTCCTAAAAGAGAGAAGTTTTTGATACTTAAAAGAAATTATAAAGAAAGGCGATAAAATGAAAAAAATTTATTTATTTTTAATAAAAGAGAGTACTGAGTTCGATACTCCCGCTATATTAAGAAAAATTTGGTACACTATGGGAGTTTATAAGAGAGACAATTATCATGAGAGAAAAACTTCAATGTGCTGGAAGCACCGAACGTGATGTTCCATTTTACAAAATAGATAGAAAAAATTCCCTTTTTATCTATGTTTTTTTTTTATATTTTCGTTTTTTTTAGATATTTTATATTTTTGTTTTTTTAGATATTTTATATTTTTGTTTTTTTTAAGTAATAAAAAAAATTATATTTGATAAAAGAGAACACCAAATTCGATGCCCCAAATACATTGAAGTGTTTCTCCTATGATGGATGGTAGATTACTATACACAAATAGAAAGCTTGAAGCCTAGTGTGTGTGTATGGTAATAAAGGAGAATAGGCTTCACGTACATATATGGTTTGATACTTTATTTATAGGGTTTCAATTTTCCTATTCAATAGGATATATGTGTCGTATGTTATAGATTCATCTTGTGTGGGGCTTTATCTACTAAAAAAACAAAAAATAAAAGAAAATGTTACACGAAATTAAAGGATCATTAGTATGAGAAAACAACTCTCCTACAATATGAAAATTGTTTTCCCCTTATTTATAAAAGGAGTTTATTGGAGTTGTGAAAATTTGAGTAAAATTCAAACTCTTAACGAATAAATCATGTCATATTCAAATTAAGATTAGTTGGAGCTAAAAAAAAAAAATTAATAAAAATACAAAGAATCACTAGCGGACGCGTGAATTTGACGCGCCTGAAATTTTCTCTCTGTAATTTCCGTTGGGGATGGGTGAAACACGACTGGCATCGACGGAGGAGGAGGAGGATAATCTGAATCGGAGCATTAAGAAGCCCAAAGGCTTGGAGGTTCTGGATGATGTGATGGATGAGCACATGCAAGGAGGTGACTCAGTTAATCCGGCTTCGAGTGACAAGGGGAATGAAGCAGGGGATCGCGATTTGAAGGATCTGGAGCTGTTGAAGAAGGAGAGCCTTGATCATCGGTTTGGTGGTCCATCGAATCAGAATAATGGTCTGAATCGAAGAGTTGTGTCCTACAAGGACAAGCTACTGCGTCTGAATGGAGCGAAGGAGATGTCTGATAGTGACGATGAAGACTGGCTGGCAAGGTTGGAAAGAGAAGAGGAAGAAGAGGATATGATTGAGGGGAATCCAGAAGTGGTAGTGGATGATCCACTTTGCCCTACATACAAATTCTCCAAAAGTCAGCATAAGGAGGATTGTAAGCAATGGAGGAGAGCGCTCATCCTTAAACTTCTGGGGAAGAAGCTGAATGCTAGGTTTCTAATGTCTCGATTGCTGAGATTGTGGAACCTAGTGGGTGTGTATGAAGTTATTGACATGGACAATGGTTATATGGTCATCAGATTCAAGGAGGACAGGGACTATAGTCATGTGTTGCATGATGGTCTATGGATTGTGGCAGATCATTACTTGACAGTGCAGAGATAGAGGCCTTTTTTTGATCCGTATGATGAGACGGTTAAGAGGCTGGTTGTTTGGGTCAGGATACCTGGGTTGCCTTTGGAATTTTATATTACCCAGAACCTTTGGAAAATTGGTAGTATGTTTGGAAGAACCCTGAAGATTGATAAGAATTCTTTGCGGAAGAATGAAGTTGGTGATGGGGTCATTACGGAGAGAGCTAGATTTGCTCGTATATGTGTGGAAGTGGATCTTCGAAAGAGCTTCTTGTCGAAATTCAACATTGGGTTAAAACAGTATCATGTAGGATATGAAGGATTACATATGATATGTTTTGCGTGTGGTTTATATGGGCATAGGAAGGATTCTTGTCCTGCGGCTGATACTCATAAGCAATGTTATGGGGAGGGAGAGTCTTACAATGTGACTCAGGAGGCCAAGGGGGAGGAGATATGAAAGGTCCAGGAAAGGGAGGAAGCGTTTGGAACTTGGATGGTAGTTCAAAAATCAGGTAGAGGGCGTAAGATGAGAGCTGCCCCAGCTAAGCATGTCCCAAATAATGCTGGCAGCAGTAAGCAAATAGAACAACATAAAATTGTTAATGTGGATGGAGGGAGTGGTGAGATGATGGCCACAGATTGTCACTCGGGTGATATAGTTCTTGATTCTGCTGCTGACAAGGAAGTGGGAAGTCTGAATATTCAAGGAAGTTCTGGGAACATTGAGAGGAAATCTAGGAGTCCTAATCCCAGCCCGCGGGTTTCTGGCCCTAAGAAGCAGAAAAAATGGGGAATTAAAGCTGGAACTCATAGAGGTTTATCTGTGAGCTCTGGTGGGATTCATAAAGGAAAGCAGAATACCAAAGTCGGTGCGAGTAGAGTGCAAGACTCAGAAAATCTGATTCCTATCTCTCAGAGTATGGGAAGCCAGAAGATGGCTAATAGGATTAAAGTCTTCAAAAGTGGAGTCCTTCAGCCGTCCCAGAATCCTAATATTCTGGGCAGTGGGAGAGTGAAGGCAGAGGCAACTCTGAATAATATGAAGTCTGGTACTATGCCTCACTATTTGGAGGATAGAAGTATGGAGTTAGTCACATTTGTGTATGGGAGCCCAAGGAGATGTGAGAGAGAGATTCTTTGGGAAAATTTGGAGGAGTTGGCTGCTTCTGTGAATTCTCCTTGGATTATTCTTGGGGACTTCAATTCTGTGCTGAAGCAATGTGAGAAGGTTGGAGGTATGGATGTATGCTGGAGGAGTATTATGGAGATGCAGGACTGCCTTGATTTGTGTGGGGTTTCTGACATAGGATTTAAGGGTCCTAGTTTTACTTGGAAGAAGGGCAACCTACAAGAAAGACTTGATAGAGCTTGTGCTAATGAGGAGTGGAATATGGCTTGGCCCAATAGATTTCTTGGGCATTTACCATTTTTCAATTCTGATCATAGACCTATTTTGGTTAGTAATTACCAATCTAGCCGTGAGCTGAATGGGGTGAAGCAATTCAAGTTCCTAGCTGCCTGGTTGACTGATCCAGATTTTGGTAATATTGTCAAACGGTGTTGGGAGGAAAAAGGGGATTGGAATGAAGCTAGGAAAGAGTTTGAGGTTGAAGCTTCCAATTGGCATCATTTTGTGTTTAGAGAGGTATTGAGACAGAAACACAGACTGTATGCTAGAATCCAGGGTCTGGATTGGGAGCTGGAGTATAGATATGATAGGGAGCTTGCAAGACTGCAGGGTGAGCTATGGAAGGAATTGGAGACTATATTGCTGAGAGAAGAAGTGTCCTGGTTTCAAAGATCTCAGGTCTCTTGGCTGAAATTTGGTGATAAAAATACCAAATTCTTCCATTCAACTACCATTGCTAGAAGAAGAAGTAATAAAGTGCTTGCCATCAAGAATGAGAGGGGAGAGTGGACTGCTGATTCTTCTGAGCTTGTGGAAACTGTTGTGGGTTATTTCTGGTTGAGGAGGGGGATAATGAGATGTTCCTTATCAAGGGTGCTTTCCCTAGGTTGGAGGCTTTTGAGATGAATAAATTGGCCAGAATTCCTGATGAGGTGGAGATTAAGAGCACTGTTTTTAAAATGGGTAGGTTCAAAGCTCCTGGGCCTGATGGTTTAAATGCTGCCTTCTACCAATCTCAGTGGCCCATTATTGGCAAGTCAGTCTGTGATTTGATCAGGCTTATATTTGTTGATCCTTCGAAGGTTCAGGATATTAACCAAACTCATCTCTGTTTGATTCCCAAAGTAGAAAACCCAGATTGTATGAAAGATTTTAGACCTATAAGTTTGTGCAATGTCTCCTACAAGCTGGTTACTAAAATCATAGCTGATAGATTAAGGGACTTGATGCCTAAACTGGTTAGCCCGAACCAATGTGCTTTTATTAAAGGAAGGAATAGTGCTGACAATATCCTGGTGGCTCAAGAGATCATCCATTCAATGCAAAGGAAGAAGGGTGAGCAGGGGTGGATGGTTATTAAAGTAGACTTGAAAAAGCCTATGATAGGCTTAACTTGGATTTCATTCATGATACCTTAATGGACATGGACCTGCCTAGCAACCTGGTTTCTATTATTGATAAGTGTATTGGCACTAGTGTTCTGAATGTGCTTTGGAATGGGAAACCTACTAAGTTTTTCAAGCCATCCAGAGGTATAAGGCAAGGGGACCCTCTTTCCCCTCATCTTTTTGTATTGTGCATTGAAAGACTTGCTCACTTAATCCAGGTAGCTAGTGAGGTTAAGGCCTGGAAGCCAATTATGCTTAGGAAGAATGGTCCTCCAATCTCACATCTATTCTTTGCTGATGATATCCTATTGTGTATGGAGGCTTCATTGGAGCAAGATTTTGTGGTGAACCAAGTGCTCAGGGTATTTGCTTTGAGTTCTGGTCAGAATATCAGCCTTGATAAGACTCGGGTCTTCTTCTCTAGGAATGTGAGCTTTAATAGATCAAAGGAGATCAGTGATTGCTTAGGTATAAAGAGCACTCTAAATCTGGGTAAATACTTGGGAGTTTACTTGAATCATTCTAGAGTTACTCAAGCATCTTTTAGTCATGTGATGGAAAGGGTTAAGAATAGGCTGAGTACTTGGAATTCCAAGTCATTATCGTTAGCTGGAAGATTGACTTTGGTTAAATCTGTAATTTCTGCAATGCCAAACTATGCTATGCAAACTGCCTGGATTCCTAAATCCGTCTGTGATAGCATTGAAAAGCAGGCTCGAGGATTTATTTGGGGGTCTACGGCTGAAAGGAGAGAAGTGCCTCTGGTTAATTGGGAAACAATGTGCTCTAGGAAGTTATCTGGGGGAGCTGGTCTGAGGAACTTAAAAGTTGTTAACCAAGCTTTTGTCATGAAGGTAGGCTTCAGATTACTGACCAAGAAAGAGACTTTGTGGGCTAGAGTTCTGTGAAACAAATATAAAGTTGGGGAGGGGTTGATTCCTAGAATCTCAAGGTCATCTGGAGACAGCAATATATGGAGGGGACTGTGTTCTAGCTGGAATCACATTGTGGCTGGGTCTAGTGTTCTTTTGGGAGATGAGAGTCTCACAAATTTCTGGCTGGACTGCTGGATTTCTGGAATAGGAAGGCTCATTGATAAGGCCATTACTCATGTTCCTGCTAATGTCCAAACTAGGAAAGTGTCTAATTATGTCACACTGAATGGAGATTGGGATTGGGATCAATTGAGTTATTTCCTTCCTGTTGAAGTGTGTGCTGTTATTGCAGACATGGAGGTTCCTAAGGTGGAGAATGGTAACGATAAAGTTATATGGAAGCCTTCTAGCAATGGTTCTTTTTCTGTCAGATCAGCATACCAATTCATCAGGGAAGAGGCAGCTAGCATGCCAAATCAGAATAATTTGTGGGAGTGTGCTTGGAAATGGCAGGGTCCTGCAAGGATAAAGCATTTTTGGTGGCTCCTTCTAAGTAATAGTCTCCTGACTAATGCACAAAGGAGTATGAGGCATATGGGAGGAGATGATCACTGTCCAAGATGCTTTATCCCTTGTGAAGATTGCAATCATATAATGAGGGAATGTGCTTGGACCAAACAGATTTGGGAGATGATGAATTTTAAGACTAATGGTATCATGTTCTCTGTTAGCAGCTTCCAAGACTGGCTCTGTGAAAACCTGAGGACAAAAAAGGGACAGAAGCTCGAACAGAGTTGGAGCCTCATGTTTGGAACCACTTGTTGGATGCTATGGCAAGCTAGGAATAACCTAGTTTTTCATAATGAAGTGTGCTCTCCTGAAAGCTTTTGTTTTAAGGTTAGAACTTATGTGAATAATCTTATCCATGCTGGGAAAACCTTAGAAGTTATTGATGATAGTTTTAAAAATATGGTGGATTGTACTGAGAAATGGCAGCTTCCCCATGAGGGTTGGATTAAAGTAAATTCAGATGGGGCATGCTCCCTTGATGGTATGAGAAGCGGTTGTGGTGGGGTCCTGCGCAATAGCCATGGTAGATGGATTGTTGGATTTTGGAAGAAGGTTGGCCAAGGCAATGCTTTGAAGGCTGAATTATGGGGTGCTTTTTTGGGTCTTCAGGTGGCATCGGATCATGGATTTAGACAGGTACAATGGGAAGGAGATTCTCTTGAAGCCTTATACTTTATTCAAAATGGCTGCTCTTCTGATAATCCTTTGTTCCAAGTTGTGAATCGTATACAGGAAATGAAGAACAGGGATTAGAAGGTGATGTTTAAACATATTAGTAGAAATGGGAATACAGTTGCTGACTGTTTGGCTGGGCCGGTGGATCATGGTACTTGGGACTTAGTGGTGTTGCCTAATGCTCCTTTGAGTTGTACTAGGCCTATAGAAAAGGATCTTGTGGGGGCTGTCTATACCCAGAATGATCCTTAGTTAGTTTGTTTTGTTTGTTTATTTTCCCTAATATCCAAAAAAAAAGATTAGTTGGAGCTCTTATCTTTTAGAGGCCTTTGGTAAAAAGGAAAATTTTAGATTCACAAAAAACTCATATTGGAAGTTCTAGTTATTCACATTTGGTATAAGGATTCTTAAAAAAAATTCCTGGGAAAATGAGATTGCTGAAAATTAAAATTGTGAATAAGAATCCCATGAAATAATACCACCATGTGGGTGATATAATTTATAGGCATAAATAACCATGATTTATTATTTTCATGATTAAAATATCATATCTTGTTAAAGCCCTAGTCGTGATACTCTGCTTCACAAAATCGTGGGTTCCTCTCTGCTTCACATTGTTTCGCTCCGGTGACCCCAATGCCACGACATTGAACCGACATCCATGATCTCTTCAGTATTTTTAATGAATGTTGCGAGTTAAATGATAAAAGGTGTCTGTATCTGTCTAACACTTCTGAAAAAACAAGACAATCTTGAGAGTGGTCAAATTCGTTTGGGAAATTTGGATTTGATCCGCCGCGCTTTGATCCTTTTGTGGCATATCAAAAAAAAAAATTCAAAATTTCATCAAAGATTAGTTTTGTAAAATCAGCTCACATTATAAATCATTTACAATCAACCAAATATAAAATTAGCAAACTTGAGCCAACATTTTTGAAAATATTTTGACATACTAAATAATTTTTTAATAACATTCTTGGGAAATTCACTTTTCCAATATATTCTCAGAAATCACGATTCTTAGGAATATAATTTTTTTCATCTACCAAATGCCCCCCTTAAAACCTATGAAGTCATAAAATGGTTCAAAACAAGTTTCGTACATAAACTATATTAATATCTTATAAATATGCGAAAAAATGCATAGAAATTAGTTTTTATATATTTATTTTGAGATAAAATATTATGTTTATCTTTTTTCATATATATTTTACTTATTTTTCTCGAATATTATTATATTACAATCTCAATCAATATTCACATTTTCTCTTTATTGTCATTATTTATTAAAAGTGTGATCTAACAGTGTTAAAATAAATAAATAAAATAAACATTAAAAAAATAAGTATAACATCATATGTTTATTTTACATGGAACGAATGCTACGTACTTTATTTAAAGATGGAAAGAAAATAAAATGTGTAAATTGCCACTAAATTTGTTTTTTCATGAAATCGAACAACTTACGGATAGGGCTACTAGGAGGCTTTAGCCATTGTCGGTAACACCTTTATGTGAGTAACGTGTTAATGGATAATAACGTTCCATAAGGAACAAAATTTCGCTGATGCATTGAAGTAGAATGCATTCCTAGATATTTTTACTAGGATATATAAGTGGATCTGTACAAATTTTTAAGATTATATGATTCGCCTACGTGTTATAGTAAAAATGAATTAGGGATGTATTAAACTCAATGTAATGTATCAGTAGCATGGTAGATTTTTCCCTCGTGGCGGACTCAGGAATTTTTTCTGTAGGAGCTAAAAATTAAATATTTGTTTCTCTTTTCAAATATATTATATGAGAGGTCAAAATACGAAAAATAAAATATTTGTTCCTCTCTTCAACCACAATATGTGTGAGGCCGGAACACCAATCCAGAGAACATAACTCATAAATACTTCTTTTAACTTGTTATAGAGAGAAAGAAGGAGACAAAGAGAGAGGTGGAAGATGTCACAGTAAAATTTACTATCAATTTGAAAAAAACTACAACTTTTCAACCCCTAAAATGAACATTTTTTATGCAAAAAAAACAAAGAAAAAGAGAAGAGAGCAAAGGTTTAAATTTCACAAAAAATATGAATTAATTACTATATCTAAATAGATAATTCAAAGGAGACCCCTCTCATTTCTTAACCTCTTTTTTTATTTACTAACTGTTAGCCCAACAAGAAAAAAAAGTTAAAGATAAATCAGAAGAGACAGATTGCCAAGAAGCACAATCACTAAAACACTTCTGCCCCTCACTTCCCTTAAATCATGAGAAAAGGAGAGGGATCAAAAGAATAAGGTTCATTCTTTCATAAGACTCTCGGACTTCTTATTTTTATTCATGAATGGGAAGATTTGTGCTAACATCTAAGCATAATAAAAGTTGAAACTGTAAGTTTCA